GGAGCAAGAAGCTACTAGTAACAAGGGCATCGCTACTAGGAGCAAGGTTGCTACTAGGGGCTTCTGGCATTGCTACTAGGAGCAAGAAGCTACTAGTAACAAGACTTCCACCGTTCTTCTGAGGCGACCCTTGGCCTCAGCTTTCTGGCGAAAGACAAACTCCACAAGGTCTTAGAGCAGAAGGCCATGAGTCTGCCATGAAACTTGGAGTTGTCGGCTCAAGTATCTTGGTGCTCACCTGTGTCCTGATTCGGAACACTTTCTGCAGTCTCAGGCTTCGTCATCGAAGCAATATTTTCTCCCAACAGCCAAACTCCAACCTGATTGAAACCCGTCGCCCGCTCACTGTAAAGTTGACAACTCCTGGCCAGGACAAGTTTATGAAGAGCTGGGACAGCAGGCAGAGGGGAAAGCTGGCAACTCCCGTGGTTTCAATGCGGCTAAAACGCTAAGCCCAACCCTCTGTACCGACGTAGCAGAACGATTGTTGCATATGGTGGTGTTGATTCTCCTCGGAGTTGTAGGACTAACAAGCTTTGTACATGGATGCTGGAAATCAAGTATATTCAATTACTAACCACTTGTGACTATCAACCCCTTGATGCCTGTCCATGCATCCTAGACAAAGCAAAGCTGTAAAAGTCTTCTTGACTAGCCTAACTCCAAGAAAAGTTAATATCCCTGCCGAAGCCCGACACATCAAAACTGATCCTGATCCCTGTCTTCCAGGGTGAAGGTTGAAGTACTTGTGCAACTAGTAGTTTGGTCAACTCGAAAAGATAATGCCGACAGAGACCCTGCGGTCATGATCCGTTCTCGAAACCACTTGCAGGTTGCACCTGGTGAGGCAACGGATTGCAGAGGCTATGGGGCAGGGTTTCTGAGCGAATCTGAAACAAGGCTGGATTTCAGTGTCATGGACTTTGTCATTCCCACCGCGAGGTCACGCTCACTTCGTTTTGGTGTTGGCAAATGTTGAGTCAGCAGAACTTGGTGTGCTTAGAATGCCTGGCATCGCAGAACGAGCAAATGTAATTTGTACTGTGAGAGCGTTTTGTGTGAGTTTCTTGAATTGCATATAAGACGCTACATTTGTGCATGCCTTCCTATGCATGCCAAAACTCGGGACACCTTCAACTCTTCCTTCGGCTTCGCGTCATCCGCGCTCAAAAGCTCTCAAGAACAGGAAGGCCTAGAAATATGGCATGCCCGATGCTGAAGTGCATGCTGCTGCATGCTTTGCCTAGTAAGGTGGTGTAATGCTTGGAGATTGCATTTCACAGCTGCAAGGTCTGAGATCCCTTCGAACAAAGTTGTTGCGTGGGTTCTGACGCAAGCAAGTAGTCAAAATAGTTCCAAAACAAAGTGACACGAAGCGACCAAACTTCTCGCTGACAAGACGTTCCTGGGTCAATCAGTGGGGTATCTTGTGCCCTCTGCCGACAGACATGGGACCGGGTCTTAGCACTGAGTTTGCACTCGTGACGCCGCCAGAACAGCAATTGATACTGGACCTGTGATTTTCCGATCGTTTAGATCTTTGGCGACCTTTGGCGACCTTTGGCGACCTTTGGCGACCTCACGGACCCACGGACACCGGATGAAGCCCAAAGCCTCCGTGGCCTCGGGCTGCGATGCTTCGTTTCCGAGGCCACGGGGTCTCCACGGAAGATGCCACGATCCTGCGAGGCATGGGGCGTTTGGCGAGCGAGCGCGGTCCGTGGCGGAGTGGATGGGTAGAGCTCGTTTTGCCATTTGCACATAGTGCTTCTATAACCACACTGAGAATCTAAATAAGATGCTTGGAAGCCCTATTTATTTGGTTGTGATTTGCAGACTAGATGTAATGTGGCCAACATTTCTTTTAGATAGCAGGTGACCATGCAGTGCGTGTGGTCCTCAAGATGTTAGGGGCTCTGGAAGATTGTTTGTTAGCAGTTCTAGTATGTCTTACACTGGGGTTTCTGTTGTCGCCCAGAGTCTTCGCACAAGACCTGGAGACCATGGCAGCCTCAGGTCTGCGGGTGTCCGTGGCAGCCTTTAGCCGTGCTGGAAATCACTTGGCCACGTAGGGTGCCCCAGGTGCCTGCTGCATACGTGCTAAAGACCCGAGAGGTTTGGTTTGATCACCTCGTTTGGTAAAACCACTCTATATGGGCGGGGTTGTCTTCTGAGAGGTTGCAGGTTGTGCGAAACATTTGGCATACCATCCACGTGCGTCCCAGAGTTGCTGTTAGAGTCTGAGATTTCAATTAAGAGTGATAGTGGGGTATAGTTGTTACTTTTTGGTGGTACTCCAAGTCAGGGTACTCCAAGTCAGCCACACCTTGGGCCTTGGCCAACTCAGATCGAGGGACCTAGGCAATGATTCAGCCAAAGGATCAAGGCTTTTTTCAGCCTGGCTTATCTTCCACAGAGGGGGCTAAACTGCTGCAAGCCTTCATGTCAATCAACACTGCCACCAATGAAGCAAAGACATTCCAGGATATGCATTGACCATCATTGACCCCATTGAGCTTCCAGAAAGCCGTCTGCACAACACAGACAGCCGGGGGTGTTCATGGATTCGTCAAAGGTTTTCTGACCTGTCCTGGCTTGAGTATTTTCCGCTTGGCAATGCTGACTTCTTGCTCTCCAAGCATACAAAGATTGCTGGATGCAGCTGCTCCACTGAAGGCGCGCAACAGTCGCAGCCTCCAAGGAGCATCACCACAGATGGGAGTTCTACCAACCAGTGCTGGATGCATCAGCATTTTCTGCAGCTATGCATCGCGCCGATGCTTGCTGTCCCAGAGGCAATTCCGCCTTGCAAAGGTCAAAGGCGGTAAGACCAAAGAGGCTGCTCCGGACTATACCACGTTTAGTGATGCTCGTTTGCTTCATAGGCCTAATTCTTATTCTTATTATAGAACTTGTGTAGCTTTTCTCCTTCAACACCCTTGTTTCAAAGGGTAGCGATACAGACAGATGAGAATCAGGTTTGGGGCGAATATGCCAGCTCTTCTTGGATTGAATTCAAAAGAACTGGGACTCAGAAATTCTTCATTCAGGATGATTTGATCGTGGTGGTTCAGAATGCTGACAAAGAGGCCCAAGAGTTGTGCACTACACAGATCGGCACAGATGCTTTGCTTTTGTCGCTGCTGACAGTCTCGGAGGAGGACTCGCCCAATGCTGATGCCACAAGAAAAGCTGCATTCCCTGGCATCTCCACTGAGCAGGTGAGGGTAAGCGAAGATTGGTACGGTAAGCAAGTTTATGTTCATGGGCTAGCTTTGTAAGATCGTACGATAGTAGCTTGAGTGTGTGCAGTGCGGGGGGAGTTGTTGCAGGTGGCTTCTTACTTGCAGCAGCGCTCGCAAAAGGGTGCAAAAGGCAAAAAAGCATCAGGCGCGGCAGAGTGGGGTTGGGCACGATGAGGCAAGGATAAGACTTTGTACCAACAAGTGCTGGGCTCTCGTCAAGCCAAAGTAATGCTTTGAATTAGGTTAGTGACACTTAGTCACTTAGTCCTTGTCTGAGAATGTTGGAATCCCAATTCCAAAGTTCTTGACACAACTTGACACATTGGCTACAATGTGCTCCTCTTCTTCACGTTTGCAGGTGCAACTTCGAAGGTGCCGATGATGTTCACGCCCATGACGAGACGCTCCCTACAAGCTGCCCAGGAGGAGCAGGTTCGACTCGGACATGCAGCTGTGGAGCCTGCTCACTTGCTGCTGGCGCTGCTGAAGGCGAAGCTTCCACCTCGCCGAGATGACAATGGATGTGTTTCCTTCCTTCCTTCCTTCCTTCCTTCCTTCCTTCCTTCTTTTGTAGGTTCTTCAAGCAAGGAGGGGAGCTTCTTCGACCCCTTTGCATGGTCGATTTGGTTCGATCCTTTGGGAAACTTTGAGACTAAATCGGATCTCTTTCCTCTCTTTTGCTTCCTTTCTTCTGGATCCTATTTTTTCGTTGCGTCACGAGGTCAACTCTCTTTGCATGCTTGAACAACCTAGACGCTAACCAAAGGAAGCAAAAGCCGTTTTCAAAACTATACAAGGCTCGCCTAAGTGGACGTCACTGCACCTTAATTATACACCTGTTTTTACAACATGATGTCCAAGAATACAACATCCTTCAATAATACAATTTCCTTTACCTCCGAGGCACAATAATTAGAGGACTCAATGCATTTGGAGTTCTCTGGCGGAGTGGACCTGAGGAGCAGCGTGCACAGAGCAATGAGCTGCTGCAGCACTTCGGGCAGAGCCCTGAGGCAGGACGTGGTCGTCGGCAGAGCCGGGATCCCATGAAAACTCATCCCAATTGGAGGCGCCATGGGGTGCCTCATGGGGTGCCTCATGGGGTGCCTTTCGAAATGGAGTTTTCACACGGTTGGGTGCAAGATGGGCATGTCTCGAAGGCAAAAATGGAAGAGAGTGTGTTCTCATTTGCGTTGTACATATGCCAGACAATCTTGAAGACATGCACGTTGAAGCTGAGATTTCCCTCCACCTTCAACTACTGGTACCATTTGCTTGAAGGAGAGTAAGTAGCCATTCGATTCCATTTGCTTGAAACTACTTGGGATTCCAAGCACTTCTTGAATTGCTGAGAGGATGTACAGCGGCGAGTGCTTGCAACGTTGCAAGGGCCTTTGGCCAAGGTTCGCTTGGATGCGTCTATCACATTGCTTGAGCTGGAGAAGGACGTTTGGGAAGTCTAACGTCTAAGTCCAAGCGGTCGTCTCTGCAGCAGGTTTTCCCTCCAACCAATTGTACTGGGTGAAATTATGGGCAACTGGATCAGAGCAAGGACTGGTGATCAAATGTTGGCGAATGTGCTTACTTTGCCCAAAGTGGGTGAATCGTGTCCTGTACGATCTGAAAAGCAGCTTGTGAAGGCGCCGCTTTCTTTCTTTTGTGGTAGCTCTCATGTGGAAGGCTCTGAAAGATTGTAAGGGTGATGTGTCAGGAGGTCGTAGCAGATGCTGCTCCAGCAAGTGATCGGCCGTTGGCCACCAAGCTCTCCAAGGCTTACACGCAATTGACAGGAGGCCGGATGGTAAGCTTATTCTGTGCAGTTGATTCAGATTTTCAAACTCTATTCATAGGCCGCAAACGCTATTCAACTGCCTTTGAAGCAACTCCTATCCACTGTGGGTTCATAAGTGAATGAGCAACCTAGTAGAGTAGAGGTTGGCAAGATCAACATCAGATTGGTCAGACCATGAACATACACTTCAAGAATTGAATTTGTCCTTCATCATCAAAGAGTTGGTGGTGTCGGACCGGAGATACGGCGTCCGGTGAGGCCTGGTCGAGCGGAGCGTCGAAGCCAAGCTGATGCTCTTGGCGGCACTGAGCGGAGAACATCTCTTCTTGCTGGGCCCTCCAGGCGTCCGGAGCTGCGAAGGGCTGGGACGAACGAGAGGAGGAGTTCCGGTGGAACCTGAAGAGGTCAAACGGAAAGCGCAAGGCAGTCAAACGAGTGAGGAGACAATGTCGCCAAACGAAGCGAACATCAGACAGACATTAAAGGATACTTTCAGCAACCTGATTATCCTAATTGTTTTCCATTTCCCCCGTTGTGGATCAGGGTGTCAGGGTTTGGTCCTTCTACTGGGCTTTAAGGAGAATATAAGTTGGGGCGCCTATCGTCCTGGGGCGGCTACCGTATCGGCTATCATTTGTTGTACCCTTGGGAGGACTGGGTTGTTGCCTTAAATGGCTCCCTTTGTTTGAGGTCAGGCTCCTTTGCCATCCGAATCCCGTTATTTCTCCAGTGCCTCTGGGCCGCGTGACTCGTGCGAGGCACGGCCAAAAGCTTGCTCGCGCGGCGTTTGGCGGAAGTCTGCCGTGGCAAGTTCTTCGAGCGGCTCTTGACGCGCTTCTCAGTGCCTGAAGAGGTGGGCCATAGGATCTGGAGCAGAGAGATGGGAGCTCTGAGGAACATAGAGCACATAGAAGGTATGGAGGCTATATGAAAAACATGGAGCTCGGAGGCTTTGAACATATATATATATGTATAATCTGAGAGATGGATTTCTTTTTTTTACATTTTATAGTTATGGCTATTAGGTTGGAGGCCATTGCTCTTAGGTACTGTAGAAGGCCATCGTGAGTTCTCACTAATTAAGCGCAACTGGAATCAATAGCGGCCTTGCAGGATTGCAACTATCATGGTTTGGGAGAACTCTATTCACATCATTTTTGATGTCCATGTCTCTGACAGGGAATGGGTTTGCAATACCTCAATCCCTTCTTATTCCTCAGCATCGTTGGAGTCAGCATTATCTATCGGTGTGAAACACTTGCTTGCAGGAGTGGCAGAGATCACCAAGCCCACACACTCTTGTTTTTCTTTCCTTTTCCTTCTTTCCTTTCTTTTGACCTTTTGAGTTTTCTTTTTATTTTTATTTCTTTCTTCCTTTGCATGATTATCCTTCCCGTGCGCTTGGGACTGCGGGACACGGTAGGTCTTTGGCCCGTTGTCGCTCCAAGCGCTGGAGAAGGATGAGCTGCGCCGCAAGGTTGAAGGCTTCCTTCCCACCGCAGACGTCGCTTTCTTGGATGAGATCTTCAAGGCCTCGGGTCCTTTTAGAGTTTTATTTTGGGTGGTGTTCGGTCAAAGCGTTCTTGCTACCAGTCAAAGAAATCTTCGAAGAGAATCTTCCGAGTTCAACCGCTCGGCTCTCGATTTGGAACTTTGTGGATTCTTGGAGTCTCTCATGGAGGTGCTCATGGAGGTCTCATGGTCAGAACGCTTTACATACCTCACTCCTGGTTTTTAGGCTTTAATACCTAGGTGGGCGTGTGTCAAGTGGCTTTCCATTCAGTACGCATTTCCCGAGTGTGTGCGTGAGGAACATGGTTGGGTGATGAAGGTTCACGCGATGATGTATGATGTGCCTGTCTGTGATGTAGTGAAGTATGCTGTCTCGTGACATGTAGTCTGGTCATCAACAGCTTGATGAGATGTGGTGTTGCGAAGTGCATTGTGGTCGGTGAACTGTGATGTGCTGAGATTTGTAATATGGCAAAATGCACAAATTAACTTAATGTTTCTTGCAGCCGTTGACCTACTTCATCACGATGTAGTCACGAAAGTCCATGAACATCCCGTTCCTTTCGACGACCATCAACCAGAGAACTCAACTTCTCCCCCCTGACAGAACGTCAATCGCAGGGTGATACAAACAAGCTCCGGAACACCTGCCACCAGCATTCGGTTGGGCTTAGCTCCGGTACCCATGACAAAGTCGCCCCGAACATATAGCAATTCCAGACTACCAAACTGCCCCTTGACTGTTCTTTTTACCTACGCGCCCATGATCACGCCCATACCTCCACCTGAAACACCCTCAAAGCAAGGGAGGACCATTGGAGTCTGTGTGTTCTCAAGCAGATACAGGATCAAGCGTCCTTGATCCCTTCCCATCTGTGATCATAGCTTCGTTGTGTGCAGTAGATCACAGGTGCTGCGCACCCCTGCTTCTTGAAATAACAGAAAGGTTCGCTATGGTTCGCTTTGATTCCAAATTTTCACCCGCACGCCCCCCGTAAAGGGTGCAAAATCTAGAGCCAGAACCAAGGGCCCAGACTAAAGTGTAGGTGTGCGCACGCAAAGGACGGAAGGATGAAGACGTGACCAGGGGCAAACATTGAACCAAACAAACCTCCTTGTAACGACCTGGGCGACCTAAAATAAAACCTCGTTTGGACGCAATTGTGCGCGAATTCGCTAAGGGTTGGGCCAGTGTGTGCGCAAAAGAGAAAACAGGATGAGATGACGAGACGTGAAGGCAAGAAAGACATGAAAAGAAAGAGCAAAACCAAAGTGTGTGAGGGGAGAAAGGATGAACGGGGGGGGTGGAGCAAATGAAGGTGCCGGAAAAACAAGCCAAACCTCATTAGAACGAACCTAGGTGGAAGTGGCCTGGTCTATGTATATGCTGTGTGTGCACCTAAGGTTAGGACAGACCCTGCTGGACCTTGAGAGAACTGCGACCGCTGCGGTCTGCTCTGGCCATGGCAAAATGGCTGGCTGCTCTGGACCGCTGCGCGCAACTTATAAGCTCCATCAAGCCGTCAAGTCTCAACCAACGTTTGGCATAGGGCCTCCTGCGTCTGCTGTGGACCGCTCTCTTCTCCGGCCGGGAGAAGGAGACAAACCCCTGTTCGGTGCGGCCACGCAAAACACTCTTTGTGTACACCCTGGGCTGGCGCGAGGATAGACGCACTCGCGAAGTGCGTGCTCTGGAAGCTTTTGGAATTCAGTTTCCTCGAAGGGCCACTGGCTTTTTGTACCTGCTTGCCACCTTGGTTTCAGAGTCTGCCTTGACTTTTCTGAATGTCGAGGGCAGGGGACAGTCCCATGGCCCATGGATGCAGTTGGTTGTCCAACGAAGGGGGGCGGCGTTCCATGGCAGATATGACCCTTGGATGCTGGGACCACGTACCTGCTTGAGTGTTATTGCTTACTCCCTTGTGCCCTTTGTGGTGTGTATGCGTATATGCGCCCACAGGCACGTAGATACGTAGGTACGCAGATGCACAGGTACGTATGTAAGTATGTAGTATGTAGGTATGTAGGTATGTAGGTAGGTGTGTAGGTATGAAGGTGAGTAAGTGTGTATGTATGTACGCATGTATGCGTGCATGTATGTATGTATGTATGTACGCATGTACGCATGTATGTCTGTATGTCTGTATGTTTGTATGTACGCGCAATGTCGCAAAATTTGCAACCCTGTGTATGAAATTGCTTTGGTCGATGTTCGACCGGCTAAGGTCATATATATATATAGATATTTTTAAAGGTTCTTTGGTGCAGAGTATTGATTTAGAGGTCAACTGTACAGTGAAAGGAACGGGCAATATAAATGCAAGTCGGACAAGCTACGTGAAACCGCAAGCATGGAATGCACTGCTTGGAAGGCCTTGAAAAAGAATCTGTTCAAACAAGCAAGCGAAAGGCACGCGCTTAGAAATCAACACCGCCGGAAGCAGCCGCTTGTGAATGGTGAAGCGTCACTTGTAAAGGATGATGCCAGGACTTATCTTTTTGACCTATCAAAAGGGCCTCATGTGGCAAGCGATTGAATCGCAGGTGCCATTCCTACCAAACTACCGCTGACTCGAAACTGTGTAGGGGAGGGGTCCTGTGTGCGAATCACGATTCAGGAAACCGGCGTTGTGGAGGAAACGGTGGGGTCGTGAAGGATTGCTGAACTCCTCTATGGGAAGCCGGCGCAAAGGGACCGCTTTGCTGCTGCTGCTGCTGCTGCTTCTGCTTTGGCACTGCCGCGCATCTTTCTTCTTCTGCCCTGAGGAAAAGACGCGATTGATCGCAAAGTTGCCGCAGAAGCTTGCTGAAGGGACTATGCAGAGAGAATCAATAGTTTGAGTCAGCTCGAGGAGCTCGATAGCAGCCTCGAAGACGCCAAACAGATGAAGATCCCACCTCTGGTGCGTGCACTGTTCAGCAGTGCATGGGGGCCAGTGAGGGGTTTTGAAGCAGTGGGGCGCTCTGTGGGTCGCTTGGAGTCTGGAGGTTTGACCGGTCGCTGGTATGTTCTTTGCTTAGGGCGCGATGATTGGAGATTTTTTGCGTGTTCCAAGCAAGATTTATTCGCCATGAGCGAGTCCATGACCCTGGTGCGCTGGCTTTATCTTGTCTTGAAGGTAACCCTGCTGCCAGGCCTGCGCAGCGCGAGCAGAAACACGAATGGGCCAGACAATTAAAGCTTGTCGGCTCAAAAGAAGAGCCATCCTGGCTACTTTACTTGCATCTCTTTTGCAGAATAAGATTGAATCACGCCCTGCGCCAGGTCTTGGCTTTTCGATTGTGTGGGGTGAGGGAGCACCCTGAGAGAGAGTTTGAGCCCCATCGTTGCAAGGTTTGTTATCAGAACAAGTTTGATTTCCGAGAGGTCTTGGGTGGACTGGGTTCAAGCCGGTCGGTGCCGCGAATCCTTCTTTCGGTGCTGGCGGTCGTATTGTAGAGGTAGAACTTCGAACTTAGTTTTGACTAGTGCGCTTCTAGCGTTGAAGATTTGTCCATCACTGCCTCTGACGGGCCAACCATGGTGGGCGGCGCGGGTTCAGCGTTCACCCTGAGCGCAGCCTTCAGAGGCGCGTGGGCGCAGTGTCCCTTGTGTGCGCAAGGGGGTGTGGATCTCATGGTTTGCAAACAGAACTTATCCCCAACAGTAGTTGATTTAATACCGAGGGGTGTCATGTTGATTTAAGCAAGGGTTGCAAGAATGAGTTAGTGTTATAGACGCAGTGACCATGAGTTTTGGAGGAAACTCTGAGTTTTGAGGAAGTTTCATACAAAACGCCAGTTTTGGAGACGTGAGGAGACTCCAAGTAGTGTCCCCAAAAGCGTGTCCTACAAGATTGCCCCAACAGAGTGTCCCACAGAAGAGCGTCCGACAAAAGTAAGAGTGTCCTACGAGAGTGTCCTACAAGGGTGTCCCACAACAGCCTCCTACGAGAGTATCCCACAAGAGTGTCCTACAAGAGTGTCCCACAAGAGTGTCCCACAATAGTTTTTTACAAGAGTGTTGGACAAGAGTGCCCCGCTACATTGTTCCATAAGAGTGTCCGACAAGCACGCCGCTGCCCTGCTCCAATTGAGGCTCCAATGTACTTTGACCGATTGCGCATAATGGAAACCAAGAGGTAACATTACTACTGCGCGATCATACTGAAGTCTGTGAAGCTCCCGGACTTCAGGGGCGGAAGAAGGCAAGAGAAAGAATAAAGCGCGTGGCGCAGAATGCTTTCAGTCCAGTGAGTGTGTCTTTTTTCCTCCTGGTCATAATATCGAGGGTATATGAGTAAGTCCCCCATAGAAAGACTATTGGAGATCTTTCACGTAGCCCTGAATATGACATAACCTCTGGTTGTCCGAGCTCAACTTTCCTTGCGCCGCTTTCAAGTTCCGAACACCATGTTTCCAGTTTCCACACTCCGCAGTAGGAGTTTCCAAGCTACTTGTGTCCACGTGTTCCAGTTTCCGAATTCCTTGTGTCTAGTTTCCGAATCCCAGATTCCGAATTAAACGTGTCCAGTTTCCGACCTTCACATTTCCCAATATACCAGTACCCGAACATGACGCTGATCCTCCAGTTTCCAGATATAGTTTTCAAGTACCGACTAGTTTTACAGTTTCCGAATACCAGTTTATATCGGGTAGTTTCCGACTACCAGTTTCCGAATGTTTCCGAATACAACTGTCCAGTTTCCAAGTACAACCGTCCCACAGTTTCCGAATGCAGACGTTTAGCTTTCCGATTGCGACCGCGACCCTGCATGTATGTATGTATGTATGTACGTATGTATGTATGTATGTATGTGTGTCTGTGTGTCTGTGTGTCTGTATGTATGTATGTATGTATGAATGTAATGTAATGTAATGCAATGCAATGCAATGTAATGTAATGTAATGAAAGTATGTAAGTATGTAAGTATGTAAGTATGTAAGTATGTAAGTATGTATGTATGTATGTATGTATGTATGTATGTATGTATATGATGTTTGTACTTTTGTATGTATGTTTGTTTGTTTGTATGTATGTATGTTTGTATGTATGTATGTATGTTTGTTTGTTTGTTTGTTTGTTTGTATTTCGAAACTTCTGCCCATCAGTTCTGCGGAACACTGCTTTGTAAAGTAGGATTCTTACCAAAAAACCTCTAGCGTGGCCCTTGTTGGGCCCATGTTCTCCAGGCCAACTCTTCCATTCTAAACGCCTTGCTGACGCTTCTAAACGAGCGACGCTTTGACAATGGTGTGGAAAGGACCCTCGCAGAAAGAGTGGGTTAAGGTTGGAACATGGGGTGCAAAATTTTCGGAAATGTTTCCTTGACACAACTTTTGCATGAATTGACATTGGATGAACCTTTTTGTCTGGGAGGGTGTGTGAGGCTGGTGCTAGGATGGGTAGGGATTCGGACCTCAGTGCTGTGATTTTCGGGAAAGTGTGCTTTTTGTGCCAAAAACCACCGCTCGGAACTGACGTTTTGGAATATACTCTGCCTTTGGCCATTTCCTGAGGATTGAGGTCCCTCTATGGTGCGCAGTGGCTGCCTCCAACGAGCTCCCAGAGTCTGATGAATTGGAAGCGCTCTTTGACCGCTTCCTGCTGCGGAGAGCCGTGCCACGGGTCTCCGATCGAGAAGTGCCAGAGTTTTTGAAAAGGTCTTTGGATTCTCGGATCTGGTTTCTCTCGTGATTTTCTCTCAGATCTGTTTTCGGATATCGATTCGGGCATGAAAATGCAAGAACGTCCTGCCCAGGAAGTTGACGCCGAACAAAGCGATGACAACGAAGAAGAAGGTCCTATGTTGTCAGTCGTTGACTCCGTTGAATGTCAAAGCCTGGCCTCAAAGACGGTCTTTCCCAGCGATCTCCTTGATTTGGTGGTGAGCTTGAGGCCAGACCCCATGAGCGGGTTCAGAACAAAGTAATTTCCAAGCTGCTTTGAAGCGAAGCCTATGGTGCTGGATTTTCCCCTCGGTTTTTCGACATATCACCAAACTGCAGAAGGATGCTGGAACTCATTTCACATAAATCGGCTTGGCACCCTAACCACAGTCGATATAGTTCACTTCTTAGCGTTTCTTGATTTTGAGTGAGTGCAGTCGCCTCATGCAGGGCCTACTTGCGGGATGAGGCTGAGCCGCCTGTGCTGCTCTCAGACCGTCGCTTAAAGAAGGCAGTGCGTTTGATCCGCCTGGCCGCCTTCACTGCTGGGGCGGAGGAGGTTTCTGAGCTGGACTGAAGGGCGCAGGGGGAATGGTTGGGCCAACCAGTTGGCACTGTTTTAGGGTCATAGCTCTGAGAATAGCATCAGCCGGAAAGATCGTATGCTTCGGGGCACCTTTTCCTGCAACGAAACAGCAAGGCCAGGTGAAGTGCGAGGTGTTGGTGGCTAGGCCATGCCTTTCAGACTGTTTCAAAAATAGAACTTAGAGCAAAACCGTGAGACTGAGTTGTACCCTGAAGGACTTGCTTTTGCTACAGCACATGTGCTGGGATAAGGAGCCCTCTCAGGCAGGTGAGGTTCGCGTCTGGCTTCTGGAGCGGATGCGAAAGCCTCCCGAACGCGAAGATGTAGTGAAGAAGGCTGGCATGGGCGTGGACGGTGGGGCGACCAGATGATCCTAGAATGTGTAACTGGAAACTGAAATTTGCGCAACAATAACCGAGCAATCACTAGTCACTAGTCTTGTGCAATAGCCAGTGGAAGGTCTCACCAGGACCCAACACTCAGACCGATGCAGGATGCGCGTGGAAGGCTTTGTTTATCTTTGTTTGCATCCCATGGCATCATTTGCAGGGTGTGTTACGGTGAGGGTGTTGCGCCAAAGTATATACTGTATTTCATTGCCGCGGATAGCCAGTTACTGTTATCCCTGCAACACATGCAAAGTTCTCATTAGCACCGCATCACACAAGCGAATGCGGTAATCCTCATATTGGATGCGGATCACATTCGCAGGCGGGCTTTATCCTCAAGGGCTTGAAGCTACGGCTTCGCAGGAACGTCCGAGGGTCTAGCCTGGACTTGGCGAAGAAAGACTTGAGCTCGTTGCGAGAAGTGCTGCAAGAGCAATTGCAACGGAGGCTGCGGCGGAGAGCAAATCTGCAGGCAATGTTGCAAAATGAGGAGAGGACTCAATTGACTCAATCTTTGTTTTCCTTTTCCTTCAAGTTTTGGCAATGTTTTGCAAGCTCGTGGACCACGTCAGTGACTACGTACGACTTTCTCGTTGCTTTGAGGAGGGACTTCGGCTGTTTTGGTTGGAGAAGGAGGACTTGTCTGAGGCCAAAGACTTGCTGCTCCCTGCCTTGGAGGAGGACGTCTCCGAAGCATCCGTGGCTTTGAAAGAAGTCCTGGAGCTTCAAGGGGCGACGGAGTTGACCACAGAGGCCAGGGAGATGACCTTGGATTCACTGCTTGAAGACGAGGGAATGGCTCAAGAAAGCCTCTCTACAGAGAAAATGCTCAAAATGCCTTTGAATGGGACGTTCCCAGGCCCAATGGTCGGTGGGTAGTGAGCGCTTTTAAAAGTAGGACCTTGAAAGAAGGTCAATTTCGATTGCTTCCTAAAGCATCGTTTAGATGCTGACTCATCCAAGTTGTTCTTGGGTGGCTACAAGTGTTGCCAAGGTGCAAAAGAGGCGACACATATTGTTTGGCCATGTTTGCAGAGGGCTCTCGAACCTTCTGTCCACAGCTTCCTTGCACCCCTGTCCACGACTTCTATGCCCACATCCCCAGGTGAAAGTGCTGGTTTTGCACGTAGCAGTTGACTCGCCCCAGCCTCGCATGACCTGTTGCTTGCCCAGTCTGGCTGCGGTTGCCGCCGCACTACCTGGCTGCGCGGTGTCGCCGGCAATTATTCTGGGTGCACAGCCGGTGGAGTTTGGGAAGTAGCTGGTGAATCTGGATCTGTCGCATGTGCTTGGAATGATTCCAAGACATCAGGCAAAGTCTCCCCTGAGTGCTGATCATGCATGCAGGTGACATTCACGTTACGCACTGATGCAGACGAGGATTTTGTCAAGTTCTTGACTCTTTTTGTTTGATATTTTAGAATTGGTAACTAGAAGCTACTAGGTACAAAAAAGCTTTGTAACGCATGCATTCTCCATGTGTCTGCGCTCAGCTGTTGCGGCTCTGAAATCAACATATTGCTACCACAGTCCCATACACAACTGCTAAGCAGTGCCAAATATGGATATATGATATATATACATATATACACAAAACAACAACATGTTTTGAGCTAAACAGGGGCACCTGAAACTGTTATTATTCAAAAACCTGCTTCGCTGGACTTTCGGGCTGGACCCTTTGAAAGCTCATGGCTTCTGGCAGTGGACTGTTGGGTCCTGCACCAAACAATGCTTTCAACTCCAATCCGAAACATGTCTGCAAATGACCTGCTAGGGCTTCTTTGGCTTAAGATCACCAGGTCTTGAAATAGTGGGAACTGTCCTCCCAAACCTGACATTTGTAGAAACCTGCAAACTCCTCCAGTAGAGGAACGTTGCAATCTTCCCAGCCACCATTTACAGTTTCCATGCTTGTTGCCCGAGTGATACATCCTGAGACAGAGGGGCGCTGTTCTAGAATGATTTGAGATGCAAGCTTTCCATGTGGTTGACAGTGGAGCATGTTGTTGAGAAGGAAGGAACATCATACTTTATTCATTTTGCATCTCAACACCGTTTGCAGAGCCTCAAGGGTTCACCACACCATCCCGCAATTTGTGGTCTCCCTCGATGCAGTTCCAATCTAAAGGCACTTCAGTGGTGTATTTAATGTAGGATTAAGTCGTTTAAAGCCCAGTGGATTGGGGATCACCAGCATCCACTCACCTCACTTCCATTCTTGTCAGGCAGGGCCCCGTGATGGGGCAAAGCGTGGTGTTGCCCAAGCCAGCTGCCACTGGCATGGGCGGTATGGCTGCAATGGGCGGCATGCCGGCCTCATTGCAAGCAAGATCACCTGACGCGAACCGCCTGGCACGGCTACAAGCGATTCTGACCCGATCCTTGGAGAATATGAGATATGTGCTTGGTGTTGGTTCGTTGTCAAACATGTGGACTGCATGTTTCACCATCCTCATGTGGGGGAATAACAGACCTACAGCAAGTAGTTGTATATCCTGATTGATCCTAATTGGCAAAGCACACCACTTTGAGAGTTCTGAAGGAAACCTGGATGAGCCAGGCGAAGATATCATGGCAGCCTGAGCGTTAGGTTCACTTGCGTTACAGCCTTATTGACCAGTGGGATGAGGTGGTCCTCAGAAAGTGTTGCTGCCAAGCACTTTGGCTCGGAGTTTCAAGTGGGTTAAACTTACGATCCACTGGAAACCAGTTGTTATGCTCTAATACTCCAAGACTTTGACCGGATTGATTTCTTGTACTCGATCGCGTATTTGCCAACTGGGTTGCAGTATCGCTTGTTTTGTATTCTTTATGTATCAATGCGACGTAGCTCACAAAGTCCACGTGCGAGGAACGAACGGAAAGTGGGCCTCAAAGGACACGCACTGTTTCTGCGGGATGTCGTGCCAACGAGTAGACTCAAGGGCCCTAAAGGCGTCGAGTGGGAAGTGGCCGCGGTAGCGGCGAGAAAACATTGCAAACATTCCTCATGAAAATCAAATGACATCAAATGTGCGTTAGCTCATTGACACAGGCCAAAGCTTTTTGCAATGGGCTTCTAAGTGTCCTGAACCAAAGGAAAACATTCAAAATTCGGCCTCTTCTACTGGAAAATGCATTCACATGCATCCGAGCTCCATGCTCTCTTTGTGGTAGCTTTCGTGGTCGTTCTCCTGTGACACATGTCAGGGGAGTTTGCGACATCATGTCACTCTTTTCACCCAATCGAACTTGTTCTCGAAAATGTTCACGTTCTTCAAGCTCATCCAAACGACGGCGTTGGCTCACAATCTTCTTGTTGACATCAGCCAAAAAACAAAGGTTGTCATTCCACATTCTGTGCCACTGCTTGATCTGCTCGTCCGTGTAGTTGTGAGAAGAATCTTCCTTCATCAATTCACAGAATTTTCTCCACCGCTGAGTGGTGAAAGATTCAGCAGTGAGTGCAGCTCTTGTGGAAGGGTCAAGGCCTCCTTCATTGTCATCCAAAGCAGCCACGAGCATACGCCAAGGGTGTTGCGCACGCTCTTGTTGTACTTGCATTTTCAAAGCACTCCAACGCTCCCATTCTCCTTGGCTCATGTTGGAGTCCGTGTTCGTGCTGGTGCTGCCACTATCTAAACCAGGACGTCGTGCGAGCGTCAGGGCATTCAGGACAGGGCCGTCAAAGTCAGGAATCTCATTTTCCTCAACGGCGACATGGCTAGGTGCGTTGACATTCTCAGAGGTCAAGGCATTCGCAGGCACACGCTCTCTGAGGAAAAGCAAAACATGCTCTCGGACAAACATGTAGGCCCGGTACATGAGCACTTCGACACCAACACATGCTAGGAGGAACATGACACCGATGGTGATCAGGAATTTCCAATCCACCAAAACTTGTCCACTGCCTTCAAGTTCAGCAGCTTCACACAAAGGCAGTTCTTCCATCATCAAAGTAGCAGCGGCGGCCAAAGCAGCCCGGTGCCAGGTGTCATGTCGACCTTGGGTTCGGCTTTGGTGAGTGTAAAAGTGACGACGGCTGCAAAACAAGTTCTTCTCATTGCTTTTGTCACACTGTTTGTTGCAGCCTTCTAAAAGACACAAACCAAGCTCTTTCTTTTTGGCTTCATCGATCTCCTCATTCACCAAGGCGTGGTGGTCGTCGAGCTCCTGAGCGAACTGTTCATGGCGCAACCGTTCAGCTTCTCGCTCTTCAACTGACACTTTCTTTGCTGCAACAATCTCAGGATTGTATTTCAGTTGGTGAGTGCCACGTGCAAGGATCTGAAGGAAGTTGTCCTTAGCTGTCGGCTTTGTCAACCCGTCGGCGATCATTTGAAGGGAGTTCACCCAGAACCAACGGCCTTGTAGAGCTTCCATTCTTTGTCGAATGATGGCAACTTCAATTGCCGTCCTTCGTTCACTCAACCGGAATCCAGAAGCTTTCGCCTGAGCAGCATCGAACAATGCTTTTGCGTCCGTTGCCAGGGGTGAAGTTCCGAACTTTCTCAATGCATCATTGCCTTGAATGTCCAGGTTCAAATCCTTGATGAGGGCAAGAAAATCTTTGTCCATTCAAGTTCATCGACCGTCATTGCTGCGGCCTGAGCTTCTGCTGACAAACTGGACCTGCAAACACGAGCCAACTTCTTTGAGCTCCAGTGCAGGATGGTCAGGGCCATGAGCTGATCGCTTTCGATCTCCTGGTGGTTGCAAGCAAAAATGACCATACCTCCTTGACTGCTGCCATCAGGGCGGACTGCCCAGCTGGCGTCGGTGTAGGCGCCGAGACATAGATCAGCCAAGCTTCCGTGCGACCTGATTCGAAAAAGATGTTGTTGTGCGGCTTCTTTTGCAAATCTAAGCACCTTGTTTGCTTCCAACAGGTCTTTCACACATGGTCCGCTGGCTGAAGCTTGCAGCAAACTGATGGAGGCACAAAGTTCCGGCGTGCATTGATTTGCTGGCCAAGCGAGTGCTCCAATCAAAGCTCTGAATTGGCGGTGCTCTGTAGCATCACAAGGGTCATTGGGACATGACTTGCGGTGCTTGTTGATGGAGATGGGCTTCGCTTTGGCAACATAGTCACGAAGAGAAACACTCAATGACATGTAGTCCATGGATTGCTCCAATTGCGCACCACAAAAAACAATCTTTGAAGACTGTCCAAAATCCCATGAACCGAACTTGAAGCGCTTGGAAAGCAAGTGCAAGCGGCCAGAGAAGGTTGCAGGATCAAGCTCTTCGTTGTCAAAGTCAGAGGGATTGTGGACTCCCTCACCACAGCCAACAAAATCGTCGACATGCAATCCCAAAAGGCCATCAACAATGTGTGGGCGACCGTTCCAGTCAAAGCAACAGAAGGGGTCGTCCTCGTTGTGGGCCAACCTCAAGCTCAAATAGACACAGCTGTCCAGCGGATGAGGCACCAAACCAAGAGACTCACGAAGGTAGGTGTCGGCTGTCTTGTTCCATTGGCAGGGTGCACGTACATCACCGAAAGCGGGACGTGTCGCTTTCATGACTTCCCATGGCTTGAGGCCAATCTTGCGTTCAAGTCGTCTTCGCATGTCGGCAGACGGTTGGATGTAGATCCTGGTCGAAGAGCCAATCTCATCGGCCTGCATGAAGGCACTTTTCACATCAGCGGTCCAAAGCTTCCATGGTTTGTGGACAGCGACCAAGTAGATACAGCTCCTGCCAGTCATCGACAAGGTGGAACTTTCTCGATCCAAGGTGTTTTCAAGGACATCACGATGGCGAAATCCTTGGATGATGACCCGGGCATTGGCTTTCTTCCCGGTCTTGGTGGGTTTCCACCTTTGCAAAAAGCGAGCAGGGATGATCTCACCAGGACCAGCCTCTGAGGCGTCCACGACACGCCAAGCATCATTGTCAAACCGCACGTTGAGTGCAGTGTCCTTGGCTTCGTCGAATTGTAGCTTCTCCTCAGGAGACAAGTATTTCTCACTGAATGTTTCAGTGGCAAGTGCATCATCAGGCTGATCTGCGCCAATCATGTTGCTGTAGTGCTGGAGGAATTGTGGATTCTCAGGTGTCACCGGTTGTAGTCCATCAAGTTGCCGTGCCTGGTTGTAGGAGTTTAGTTGGTGCTGTTCATCCCTCGGAGGAGGACTGCGAGATCTCTCACGTCTCTCTGCTGTTGCTTCTGCTGCTGCCGCTGTGTGTTGTCTGTTGCTCTCATTTGCTTGCTTTTCTTCCGTCTTGCCTGTTGCTATCTCTGTTGGCTCCTCTGCTTGTTGTTCTGTCGTGCTGAACTCCTGTTGTTGCTGTGCTTGTTTTGCTGGAGTTGCGCTTGTGTCCGTGGTGTCCATGCCATACTCCCGGATGTCCTGCACATTTTGGTTCAAAGACTGCAAAGGAGTGGGCGAAAAAGTGGACACAGAAGTTCCCGATGCGTTAGCAGCAGGTGGATCCCCAGCCAAATCTAAAAAACGAACAGGGCCCTGCACAGGGGCCAGAGCAGCACGAACTCGATCTCGAAGACACGAAGTGTGCGCTGAGTCAGGTTGAGTCTTCAATCGCTCAGCTCGTTCACGAGGTACCTCAGCACGAATGTGCTCAGGGGCAACACGCACCAGAGAACTGCCATGCGCCACCCAGAAAACAGAGGCACGAGTTGAGCCATCATCCAAAACTCGAGGCTCAATCGCACAGACAAGTGCGGGACCATGCCATCGTTCAACATCGAGCTTGGCAGGAGAAGGTCTCCAGTAGAACACATGGTCTCCGATGTAGATCTCTGGGTGTTCAGCACGAACTTTGGCACTGAGGGCGCGCTTGAGCAAAGTGCTGGTATTTGCCGCATGAAAAGCTTGCGCAGCAAGGTGTCGCAAGGCTTGGTCTTCGACGTGTGCTCCCTTTTCATCAGGCCTCAGCTTGCATGGTTCATCAGCGAGGCCTCCATCATGTGGATTGTGTCCAAAAACGATCTGATAAGGTGAGCTTCCATGCACTGAACGAAGTCGGTTTCTTTGGTAACAAGCAACACGCACTGCAGCTTCCAGAAGAATGTTGGGTTCTTCCTTTTGCATTTTGAGCAACTGAAGGCGGCGTACAGCATGAAGTCGTTCAACAGATCCCATGCGGTTGTGTGCTTCTTTTGGAACCAGGATCAAACGAATACCATGATGATCGAAGAAGTCCAAGTACTTCTGGCTCATGTGAGCACCAGAAGAATCAGTCCGAAAAACTTCCGGAGGGCCGAAGATGTTGAGCCATCGGTCTTGCAAAACTTGGATTTCTTCTTCTTCAGTTTCTCTAGCGATCACAGCATTGATCTCAAAGCGAGAGTAAACATCCACGACTGCAAGCACACGTCTCTTTTCATCATTCCACTTAATGTGAAAGGTGTCGGCTTCCAAGATCTGGTTG